CTCATAAAAGGACTTGGTTTGATAAGATTCGTTATCATAATGCGGTTGTGATTAAGTTGCGATTAAGAGCTGCGAAGGAGAGGGAGGGAAGAAAAGAGAGGGAGGGGGGGGTAGGGAGGGAGAGAAGAAAGGAGGAAGGGGATGAGAGAGAGGCGGAGAGAGGGAGTGAGGGAAGAAAAGAGAGGGAGGGGGGTAGGGAGGGAGAGAAGAAAGGAAGGAGATGAGAGAGAGGCGGAGAGAGGGAGTGAGGGAAGAAATGAGAGGGAGGGGGGTAGGGAGGGAGAGAAGAAAGGAAGAAGGAGATGAGAGAGAGGCGGAGAGAGGGAGTGAGGGAAGAAATGAGAGGGAGGGGGGTAGGGACGGAGAGAAGAAGGAAGAAGGAGATGAGAGAGAGGCGGAGAGAGGGGTGAGGGAAGAAATGAGAGGGAGGGGGGTAGGGAGGGAGAGAAGAAAGGAAGAAGGAGATGAGAGAGAGGGCGGAGAGAGGGAGTGAGGGAAGAAATGAGAGGGAGGGGGGTAGGGACGGAGAGAAGAAAGGAAGAAGGAGATGAGAGAGAGGGCGGAGAGAGGGGTGAGGGAAGAAATGAGAGGGAGGGGGGTAGGGAGGGAGAGAAGAAAGGAAGAAGGAGATGAGAGAGAGGCGGAGAGAGGGAGTGAGGGAAGAAATGAGAGGGAGGGGGGGTAGGGAGGGAGAGAAGAAAGGAAGAAGGAGATGAGAGAGAGGCGGAGAGAGGGAGTGAGGGAAGAAAAGAGAGGGAGGGGGGGTAGGGAGGGAGGGAAGGAAGGAAGGAGGAGATGAGAGAGAGGCGGAGAGAGGGGTGAGGGAGAAGAAATGAGAGGAGGGGGGGCAGGGAGGGAGAGAAGAAAGGAAGAAGGAGATGAGAGAGAGGCGGAGAGAGGGAGTGAGGGAAGAAAAGAGAGGGAGGGGGGTAGGGAGGGAGGGAAGGAAGGAAGGAGGAGATGAGAGAGAGGCGGAGAGAGGGAGTGAGGGAAGAAATGAGAGGGGGGGGGTAGGGGAGGGAGGGAAGGAAAGAGAAAGGTTGGGGTAGGGAGGGAGGAAGGAAATGAGAGAAGGTAGGGTGGGAGAGAAGTGAGAAAGATGGGAGTAGGGAGGGAGGGAATCATTATAATCATTACCACTACCACCATATCATCACCACCACCATCACCATAATCATCATAATCATCATAACCACCACCACCACCATCATCACCACCACATTCACCACCACCACTATCTTCACCATCGCCACCACCACATTCACCACCACATTCACCATCACATCACCACCACCACCATCACCACCATCACCACCACCACCATCATCACCACCACCATCATCACCACCACCATCATCACCACCACCATCATCACCACCACCATCATCACCACCACCATCATCACCACCACCATCATCACCACCACCATCATCACCACCACCATCATCACCACCACCATCATCACCACCACCATCATCACCACCACCATCATCACCACCACCATCATCACCACCACCATCATCACCACCACCATCATCACCACCACCATCATCACCACCACCATCATCACCACCACCATCATCACCACCACCATCATCACCACCACCATCATCACCACCACCATCATCACCACCCCATCAACTCACCACCATCATCACCACCACCATCATCACCACCACCATCATCACCACCACCATCATCACCACCACCATCATCACCACCACCATCATCACCACCCACCATCATCACCACCACCATCATCACCACCACCATCATCACCACCACCATCATCACCACCACCATCATCACCACCATCATCACCACCATCATCACCACCCATCATCACCACCACCATCATCACCACCACCATCATCACCACCACCATCATCACCACCACCATCATCACCACCACCATCATCACCACCACCATCATCACCACCACCATCATCACCACCACCATCATCACCACCACCATCATCACCACCACCATCATCACCACCACCATCATCACCACCACCATCATCACCACCACCATCATCACCACCACCATCATCACCACCACCATCATCACCACCACCATCATCACCACCACCATCATCACCACCACCATCATCACCACCACCATCTCACCACCACCATCATCACCACCACCATCATCACCACCACCATCATCACCACCACCATCATCACCACCACCATCATCACCACCACCATCATCACCACCACCATCATCACCACCACCATCATCACCACCACCATCATCACCACCACCATCATCACCACCACCATCATCACCACCACCATCATCACCACCACCATCATCACCACGAAGAATGCCTCCTTTTGGCTCCGCCGTCGAGTGGCGGAAACCATTTCGTCGGCGGTGCAATCATGCACGGCGTCTCACCGTTGCAATAAACCCTTGCAATTGCATTACGGCATTAGCTTCACTTTTAGTTATTGATGGTGTTGGCGGGGGAGGTGCTGGCGGCGGCGGTGG